TAAGCTTTCAAATTCAGATCAGTAATTACACCATTAGCCCCCAAATTCCCAGGCCTTCAGACTTGGACTGAATTACACTGCAGGCTTTAATGGTTCTCTGGCTTGTGACAGCACATCACAGGACTTTTCAACCTCCATAACTACGTGAACCAATTCCTATAATAAATCTCCTCTTAGATGTATAAGAACCCTAATACAGTATATGTGCATATTCTTTCATGAGTATTGCTCATAATTATTCTTATGCTTTTTCCAAATTTCAAAAGGCCTTTTATATGCACCAAATACTCTAAGAAAAGCTTACATTTATTTGGAGAGACTTAAAATTGCTATAAAGCCATGACTGAATGATACAGAAAACCAATGAATAAAATGAATAAAAGTAAATTCAGTGAATATGAAGTTCATTTTAAAAGCTTGCTGACTAACCAAAACATCCTACCAGTATGCACCTATTGGTTCCTTGTCTGTAAAATCAGTGGGAAGATGTTTGTTCCGTGAATGAATGTTCAATCCAGGTTTGTGTGGGGTATTTAATATTTAAGTTCTTCAATGGATGTGTATTATTTTCTACCCATTTTTCCATTACATAATTTGCTACTTCCCATTTTATATACATATATATACATATACATGTGTGTGTGTATGTGTGTGTGTGTGTGTATATATATATATATATAAAACTATTCAAACTCTCAGTGACAGAACCTTAGCCACATCCTGAGCTAAGACCAAAAACTACTTAAGCCAGATTTTTTAAAAATTGTGTTTTGGGTAATTCATAATTTTTAAATCATGTATAACAGCGTCAGCTCTAGGCTGCTGATGGTCACTTAATCTCATCATCAGCATGATTCTACAGAAAGTAAACTCGACTTGAGGTCAGAAAATATGAGATTTGATCTTTTGGCAAGTAACTTGCCAAATGCATGGTTTGCCCAGCTAAAGAGTAGTGGAAAAAAATAATATCTATATTGCTGGGGTTTTGTGAGGGTCAAGGAAGTAAGAATAAGGGAAGATTAAATGCTAAATAAAAGAAATTCACACATCATGTTTAAGCAAATATCCAGAAAGAATGGTGTATATTACAGAGTATTGAAACTGTTATTGATGAATAAAAAGCACAAAGCCCTTAAAAATAACCACTCTAAACTCTGGACAAAATATAGGAAAAAACTACCTGAAAGCACTTGAGAAGGAAAAAGCAGGCAGACATTGAAGAGGTCAACATTTTTAAGAAAGAATGGTACTGAGTGAGGATAAACCCCAATCAACATACTGGGTACAAAAACACAGAAAACCTACAATCTTAGTGGTTAAGGCCCAGAAGTCAGAGTATGGAGTGGCCATAGCAGGTGAAAAGTGAGGGTGAAAATCTGAGGAGAGAGAGAGACAAAAGACAGCAAGCCTTATTCCATATTAAGTCTTCCTAATTCTCTGACCGGCACTGAGTGGCAGAATCCAAGCAGCACAATGAAGGCTGAGCAAATAAAGCCTTTTCATAGTTCAAAGTTCAAGTTAGCAGTCTGCTAAAAGAAAAAAATATATATTCTTCTCAATAACAAACAGGTTCAAGAGAAGTCTAAAATACACCTTTCATAACTTCCTGGAAATAAGAAAATTAATAGACATATGAAGAAACAGGAAAATGTGGCCTGTGTTCAAGAGAAAAGGCAATCAATGTAGATCAAACTTGAGATGATGCAGATATTGAAATTAACACACAAGGATTTTAAAACACTTATTATTTATTTAAATGTATTATTATTAAAATATTTATTGCCATTACAATAAAGGACATAAAGGAAAACATGCTCATAATGAATAAAAAGGATACAAATCTTAGCTGAGAAATAAAAACCATTAAAAAAAAAAACCATGGAAATTCTAGAACATAAAATAAGATCTCTGGAATTTTTAAAAAGCCATTAGATGAGCTTTACAGTAGATTGAAGATGAAGGAAAAAGTCAATGAACTTGAAGACAAATCCAATAATTATTGAAGAAAAAAAAATTGGAAAAAAAATGAATGCGCTCCTCAGAGATGTATGGGATAACATCAATAAGTCTAACATATATGTTAATGGAGTCCAAGAAGAGAGGTAAAATGATAGCAAGAATATGTGAAGAATAATAGCTGAAAACTCTCTAAAAATGGTGAAAGACTAAAATTTATATGTTCAAGATCAGAGAACCCTTATTAGGAAAATACAAAGAAAAACTACAAACATAAACACAGTAGTCAAACTATTGCAAATAAAACAGTAAAGGTAAAAATCTAAAAACAGCCAGAGAAAAATAACAAATTACAAACAAGGGATAATGACTTCAATGATCACTAACTTCTCATCAGAAACAACGGAGGCCAGAAATTAGCAGAATGATCTTTAAAATGCAAAAAGGGGGAAAAAACTGTCAACCCAGGACTTTATATTCAGCAAAAATATCTTATAAGAGTAAAAAATAAAGACATGTTCAGATAAAAGAAAAAAACCTCATCAACAAACCTAAACTACAGAAAATGCTAAGAGAGATTTTCTATGCCAAAGGGAAGTGGTAACACATAAACATTTAAATCTTCAGAATGGAATGAAAGCACTTTCATTTTAAGACTTTCATTTTGTCCTTTATAACTCAAAGATTCTGATTAAAGTGCTACTAAGTGAGCCTAACTTCTTTTCCCATCTTCACTCTCTCAACCATATATATATACACACACACACACACATACCACCAAACCTGCAGAGACAGAGAGATATGTAATAAGGGGGCCACACTACAAGGATCTGTTGCCCAAAGTAAACTGTAGATTCCCTAGTTCCTGCAAGGTTTTTCAGTGCTGCCTAACTTTCTCAAAGAGTAGCACAAGAGACATCTTATTCAGTTTATATATTCTATAAATATAACCCTTCTGTTATCCAATAATTTGTTTCATTTACTATAAAATGAAAATCACAAACAGTAAACATTCTGATAGATGGTGAGTTTCTATAAATGCTTCAGTATGTAAACTTTTCAAGGAACAGAACTCTATTATACACTTGTTTTGTCCCCACAACAGTACCTAGCAGAGAGCTGAGCAGAGTTAGTGCTTAACATTTATTTATTGTTTTCAAATAGCACTGATAGTTGAAATGCATTGTGTCCAGTAAGTTTATCCTTCATCTTAAAAGCTACATAGCAGTTTTACATTAAGTTATAAGACTAAATATAGAAATGGAATTGTTTCCTCCTGGTTTAGAGAAAGCTATCGTTTGAGGACTCATTAAGACACTACCCAAGGGAAAGAAAGGGTAAGAAACAAACAAAAAAAAATGCGAATTTGATGGAAAAACTTCATTATTTCCAGGAATTCAGCCTAATCCACTTGTCCTCACTATTACTCTAGGACCGAAATTTACTACTTATTATAAGGAATAATGCAGAAAACCATTAATATATTATTTGGGTAACTAAAGTCCTTTCCCTATTTTTCAATCAGGTTATTTTAGTTTTGTTACTGTTAAGTTGTAATTCTTTCTGTGTTCTGGATAATAACCCCTTGTCAGATATAGACATTTCCTCAAAGAAGATATACAAATGGCTAACATCATTACCATCATTAGTGATGCTTAACATCACTAACAGAGAAATGCAAATCAAAACTATCATGAAATATAACCTCACACCCATTAGGACAGCCTTTATCAAAAATACAAAATATAGAAAGTTTTGGTGAGGATGTGGAGAAACTGGAACACTTGTGTACTATTAGTGGTATTGCAAAATGGTGCAGCCACTATCAAAAATAGTATGGAGTTTCCTCAAAAGATTAAAAATAATTTACTGTATGATTTGGCAATCCTACTTTTGAGTATACCACCAAAAGAGAGGAAAGCAGGATCTCAGAGAAATGTTTGTAAACCCATGTTCACAATGGCATTATTCACAATAGCCAAGAGGTGGAAGCAATCCAGTGATGGATAAACCGAGAAAATGTGGCAAATATATACAATAGAGTATTGCTCAGGCTTTAAAAAAGAAGGAAATCCTGTCATGTGCCACAAAATGATTAAACCTGAGGGGAATATGCTAAGTGAAATTAGTCACGAAAAACAAATATTCTATGATTCCCCTTACATGAGTTACCTAATCAAATTTATAGAAACAGAAAAACAGAACTGTGGTTCCCAGAGGCTGGAGAGGAGGAAACAGAAAGTTGTTCAGTAGGAATAGAGTCTCAGTTTTGCAAGATGAAAAAGTTATAGAGATGCACAAGGTGAATGCTAGTTAATGCTATAACAGTACACTTAAAAATGGTAAACTTAACCAGTCAGTTAAGCGTCTGCCTTCGGCTAAGGTCATGATCCCAGATCCCAGGATGGAGTCCCACATCAAGCTCACTGCTCAGCAGGGAGTCTGCTTCTCCCTCTGCCTGCTGCTCTCTGACAAATAAATAAAAGCTTTACCTCCCCCAAATATAGTAAACTTGATGTTTTGCTTTTTCCCCCTTTCCTTCTTTTCCCTTTTCTTTACTCAATCTGCCCCCAACTCAAAATATATGCACTGAATCAACAAAATAGAGAAAAGAGAAATGAGCGTTCTGCTCTTCTCCCTTCACAGTTCTCCACAACAAGCATTAGTTTTAGTTCAGAAACAATGAGGGAATGTAGAGGGCGTGTATTGGAATGAGCACTGAGTATTATACACAACTAATAAATTGCTGAACACTACAAAACTTATGATGTAATATATGCTGGCTAACTGAACATAATAATAAAAAAGAAAAAAAAGAAACAATGAGGGAAAAGTTGAAGGGAAGTTCAATTCTAGGCTTCTAATTTGGGGGAACCAGAACATTTCTTCCAATTCAGGCTCAAGCTGGCAATTCTACTAGGCAAGATGGAAATGTATTTGAGTACCCAAGATCTTTAAAACCAAATGAGAAATTAATTTAAATAATAAAATATTATGAAGCTCTCTCACAGTCATAGTTAATGTACTGAAAATGATCTCAAATTAAAGGTAAAATAAAAAATAAATGGGCAAAAATAAGAACACATACAATAACATTTTCTTTATTAACCAATGAAACAAAGAAGTAAGAAAACATATCTCACAAATTAATAGCTAGTCCATTATAAAATACTTCATTCTACAATCTCCTTGAGCTGTTTTTCCATCAATTTCATCAGGTTTTGTTTCTTCTTTTCTGTTTGGGTGCAAAGTCCCGTAATAAACAATAAGAAAAATAATTCCAAGGACAAGACTAAGAGCTATAGTGATACTGATGGGCATAAAATAGTCTGAATTAAAAACAGAGACTGGGGAAACCCAGAACACAACCAATATCCCCACTGTGGCCAGTACCCTTACAATATAGTAGCAAAACATTGGACATCTGGTATTCTGTCCCTTAATATTAAAAAAAGTAAAAGTAAGAATGAATCCAACAACAACTCTATATAAGAATTCCATACTTATAGAAGCACAAAACTGAGTTTGCTTTTTAAATGCCCACAATAACCCTAAAAACCAAAGAAATAACAATAGAAATAATGCAATCTTAACATTTAAGAATAAAAGAAGTACAATACTCAGCATCCAAGATAATAATGTAAATAACTTGTAAAAGAGGTATGTGAATTTGGGACAGGATCCTTTAAGAAGATTTTTATCAGACAAGGATTTTCTTAAAGCTACTTGATAATCAAGAGTTGACCAAGAAATAGCACAGCAAGAGACCATAATGGCTGCATCTACAAAACAAAAAATAAAAAATAGATATACTGTTATAGGAATAATAACAGCAATATTAAATTACTATACGCCATACATGCTTTATCTGTACATACACACACCCACAAACACATCAGGTACTTTATATACTCATCTCATCTACTCCTTTGAAATAGATATTAATATTGCCATATTACATATGAAAGAATTGATGCTTAGAAAATACACATATTACTTAAGTCATACAACCAGCAAGTTGCAGAGAGCTGAGATTTGAAGCTAAATCTGCCTGATTTCAAAATTGGTGTACTTCAATGCTATATTAAACTGCTTTGTAAGATTTTAAATAAATTCATTGTACAAATTATATTGAGCAACTGGTATAATGGAAACTACACACTCTGGAAGTCCTCTAAGAGACTACAATTACAGTCCGAGCTTTTCCAGTCTCCTTGGCTTTGACCTTGAACATATACTTAATTCACCAAGAGACAGCATAATGGGGGGCAGCAGTAAGAAGGAAGGGAGAAAGGAGGGAGGTTAAATAGAAAATTTTCATGAAAGTATAATTTCCCATTTTTTAGATGATGAATCAAATAAATAAATATATTCTAAAACTTACAAATTTCTATAGACTTGACATCTTTACCCCTTCTTTTCCCCAACAAATAACAGAAGTTCATTACTGCTTTGAAAAGGATGACACTAGCCCCACTGTCAGAGCTGGGAACTTTTATAAAACTGAAAGCAAAGGCATTAGAGGGTTAAAAAGAATTTAAAGCAGAACACAGAATGCTATTCCTTCCCATTTAGTCTCACTGGAGGTCTATATCTTGGGATAAAAAGGCAGACTTTAAGAAACTGACCTACTGAAAAAGTTTATGATGATTTTAAATGCCTTTGTCTACTCTCCTGGTTTTAGCATATCCCATTCTGGACTATACAATTAGCTGGACTTTTTTCTTTCTTCTTTAATTCAAACATTTTTAAAATTTTTTTAAGATTTTATTTATTTATTTGACAGAGAGAGAGAGATCACAAGTAGGCAAAGCAGCAGGCAGAGAAAGGGGGAAGCAGGCCCCCTGCTTAGCAGAGTGTCTGATGTGGGGCTCAATCCCAGGCCCCTGAGATCATGAGCTGAGCTGAAGGCAGAGTGCTTAACCCACTGAGCCACCCAGGCACCCCTAATTCAAATATATTTTAATTAAAGCTCTGCTTTCTGCTAAATTGTCCTATGCCTTTTTTCTAATTAGTTTTTAACTTCTACCGAACTAATACATAAATACATAACAATTGAATAAACAAAAACAAATTATTAAATATATAAAATTTAAAAGTCACTAAGCTCCACTTCTCTTCACCTCTCTGTCACAACCCACAGAAGAAATCGCTAAAACTCTTCTAGCTTTTCTTCTGACATTTACTGTTGTACTTGTAAATAAAACAAATACTTTAAAACAAAACAAAACAAAAAGAAAGAAAAATACTTTATCTGCTTTAGACACTACTTCTTGATTTCCTCTTTGGAAAGAAGAAAATTTAGCACATACATAAGTACACACCTTTCTTGCATTTTCCTTTCCCTCCATCTGCCCAACAGAGTAACATCACAATTTTTGGTAAAAGTCAGTATTTGGTGTTTATCTTATAACTACATATGCACTGGTTTGTTTGTTTTACTGCTCAGCCAAGTATTACACTGATATATTTCCTTTCTTTTAAAACTGTTCACTTTTCCTTTACTTGGTTTTTCATAAGCTTACATTTCTTAGGAAAATCTTCAAATTAATTAATTAGTAAAACTCCCCTATATACACATTTATTAGTTTGTTCCTTTTCTTTTCTTTTCTTTTTTTTTAAGAATAGCATCCTATTGATCTAAGGTAGCTGTTCTCAAGGTTTGCTTCCTGCCTTCCCAGAACTTCTGTTCGCTTCTCTTTGGTGTTAAATTCCGGTTTCCTGTTCTCAAGTCTTCCTTGCTTTATTCTCATGTTTTGATCAAGCATTCTCCAGATATTCTCGAGAGAAGTTACACCTAAGGAAAAATTTTTGAGACCATGTATGTCTCAAAATGTCTTTATTCTACCCTTACATTTGATACACAGTCTTGCTAGAAACAGAATTGAAAGTTAAAAAACGTGGAGCACCTGGGTGGCTCAGTCACATCTGACTCTTGATTTCAGTTCAGGTCAAGATCTCCGGGTCCTGGGATCAAGCCCCCAGTCAGGCTCTGTGCTCAGCATGGAGTCTGTTTGTCCTCCTCCCTCTGCTCCTCCCCCAATGTGCTCTCTCTCCTCTCTCCCTCTCAGATAGATAAATAGATAGATAGAAGACAGATAAAATCTTTAAAAAAAAAGTTAAAAAATGGTTTCAGCGTGCCTGGGTGGCTCAGTCAGTTGAGCATTTGCCTTCCACTTGGGTCAGGGGTTCTGGGATCGAGCTCCACATCAGCATCCCTGCTCAGCAAGGAGGGGGAGTGCATAGCTTCTCCCTTTCCTCTCCCTCTACCCCTCTACTCGCCACCCCATTCATGCACTCTCTAATAAATAAAAATCTTTAAAAATTCTTTAAAAATGTTTTCCATTGAAACTTTAAAATTGTTGCTCTATCTATAAGCTCTTAGCTTCAAGTATTACAGTTAAGAATTTCAATGCCATTCAGTTTCTCTCACATCTTATAGAATGTTATCTTTATCCTTGCTTCTCTGGATGTTATAATGATGGGCTCAGTATGGCCATTTTTATTTACCCTTTCACTCTAATAACCCACATCCTTCAGTCACTGTGGTTTATTCTTTGGTGGTTTTGCTAGAAATCACAATATGCATATTTAGTATATCAAAGTTTAATATTAATGTTTTACTTCATAGAAAGATTTATAACAAACGTAATGAGGTTTAAATTTCAGGGACTCACACTTGCCCAGGTTCCTTCCAAGCCTAGAAAAGCCCAAGCAATGTATTCACTCTGTCATATATTTTTATAAGATTTGGGAAAATAAGGCATTTTTAACTGCAGTTGATTAAATGCCCTGTCTCTACTCCTACTTTCTCTTATATTTTCCTTTGGTGTATTGAAGTGTGGTCATTTTGGAGATCTAAGGGAAACTGAGTTGAGAATACATTTAGTTTAGATTAGAAGGATATGTTTATAAGGTCTGTTAAATAATTAAGATCTGGGGCGCCTGGGTGGCTCAGTGGGTTAAGCCTCTGCCTTTGGCTCGGGTCATGATCCCAGGGTCCTAGGATGGAGCCCCGCATCGGGCTCCCTGCTCAGCGGGGAGCCTGCTTCCTCCTCTCTCTCTGCCTGCCTCTCTGCCTACTTGTGATCTCTCTGTCCAATAAATAAATAAAATCTTTAAAAAAAAAATAATTAAGATCTTACTAAGTGACAGAGCTAAGATTCTCCGGCAGTTTGCCTGATATTAACACTTGATTATATTTCTACCAACGGGGCCTTTGATTACTTAACATTAAGGTATAATGGTCTATCTAGTCTTATCCAGTTGACACTATTAGTTTGACACTATTTCCCATTTCTTACTAATCTACCTGCTCTACTATATTTTTCTAATCATTTAGCTAACCTAACATTAAGTCACACTCTATCCAAACTGAATTCCTTGTCTTTACCAAACCATATCTTTGTTTATGTATTACTCTCAGTCTGAAATGACCTTGTCAAATTATACATATACAGATTATTATTTTATTTCTGAGTTTGACATTACTGACACCTGTGAAGAAAACCTAAGACTACCAATATTTACTAAACAAGACATCAATAATAAACTAGTACTGTCACTTCAAACAGTATTGAAAATTATTTATTTCATCAAAAAAATGTGATATATTCTGAACTTATACCACATTACTGAAAAAACTGCCAGTGTTTTTCCAAACTTAACAATCCAAAAAATATACATGATATGATTAATAATTTGTGAAGCTTAAAGAAGCTTTTCCAAGTTAAAATAAAAAACAACTTTCAATCAAATATGCTAGAAAACAGAATTTTTCTATTCCCTCTAAAAAAATTGTATTATAAAATTATCAAATCAAAAGTCAATCAGTGTGCAACCAAAAAAATCAGAATTATCAAAACAATAGATATATTACTTTTCTTCCTCTTGTGAAATTTGTCAGCTTTTTTTATATATGTAATTTACTGTAATTTATTTTTTTAAATGTTTACTTTCATACCTTTTATGGACTGAACTGTATTCCCCCCAAAATGTGTATGATGAAGCCCTAAACCCCAATGTGACTCCATTTTGAAATAGTGCCTTAAAGAGATAATTAAGGTTAAGTAAGGTCAAAAGGGCGGGGCCCAAGTATGATAGGACTGGTATCCTTATAAGAAGAGGAGGAGACACCAGAGATCGTTCTCCACACACAGAGAAAAGGACATGTACGGAAACAGCAATAAGGTGGCCATGTGCAACCCAAAGAGAGAGCCCTCACCAGAAACCAACTCTGCTGACACGTTGATCTTAGACTTCCAATCTCCAGAACTTTAAGAAAATATATTTCTAATGGTTATGCTGTAGAATTCTGTTATGGCAGTCTACACAGACTAACACAATACCTAATTTTTTATATTATATTCTTTTTCTTAAATAAGGTCTCTCTAAGTGTTTAAGTTTTACACTTCAAAAAACCAGATCCACCTTTGCTTTACCTTTTTTCTGGACTATACAAGGAATTCAAAACACTTTAACTCCATTATCTTCTACCAGACTTACATGTTATCACTGTCTTGTACTTTCCTTCTAACTTTTTCTTAACCATATGATATTTTATTTTACAGTCAATCTTCATTTAGATTCACCCACATATTTACTAATTTCTTTCTTCTTTATTCCTTCTTCCATTTTGGAACACATCTGTTCTATATGAAGTACATTCTTTGGAATTTCCTTTAGTAGTGATATGCTAAGGCATGGATTTCTTTCTACTTAGTTGATTGTAAGATGAAGGGCTTCCTCAATCTGTGGGTAGTTGACTCTCATCATTTCTGAATTTTTTCAGCCATTAACTTCTCAAAATTACTGCTGTTCCATTTTTTCTCTCCTCTCCTCTCCTTCACAGACTCTGCTCAGATGTATATTAGACCTTGCATCCCGCCTTCCATGTCTCTTAATATCTTTTTCATATATTCCATCTCTTTGTCTTTATATAGTATAATCTGAAAATTTCTTCTGATCTAGCATTGAATCACTGTCTATACCGCTATGTCTTATCTGCTAAGTAAATTTCAACTCTTAAATTTTATCATTCTCATAAATTGTACTCTTTTGTTTTTCAAATACACAAATCATTTTTTATAGTTTCCTACTCCATATTTTTAAGTTCATCACTTATCTCTTTTGACATAGGATGCAGATACTTTGTAACTGTTAAGTTCCAATATCTAAGGACTTAATAAGCTTTTTTTTTCTGTTCTTACTCATGATACTTTTGTGTGTGTGTGTGCTATAAATTACTGTAAACCATTCATTTTCCTTGGAAAACTATCTGTGAAAATTATTTGAGACCTGAGAGAAAATGAATTCCTCCAGGGAGGATTTATACTTATTTGTGCAAGATGGCTAGGGTCACTGTCAGTCTGGGACCACTCTAACTATATTCATACCTTGGCTTTCATTAGTTTGTTTTCAGTTTTGTTTTGTTTTGGGGACTAAAACTGAGAATTTTGATTGCAAAATTGTTATACGTTAAGTTTCCCTGCTCTACTCCATAGCAAGGCAATATTTCTTGCTGTGTCTTGAAAGTAGATAATGAGGTAGGTAACTTCACACCTTTGCCCTGAGGAGGGTGCCTTTTGGAGTACCAGTTTTACAGATTAGATCTTTTTATCAGATGTCCCTCCCTTATGAGGACTGAGCTTTGTCTTCAGTCCACACACTGGAAGCTATCAAAACTGAATCTGCTACTTACAGTTTTGGTAAAAAACAAAACAAAACAAAACAAAAAACCTCCAGGTATAAATGCCTTCAGAGTCTTACTTAACCCTGCTGTGTTCCCACTTTCATGTGTATGCAGACTTTTGAAAATATCCAATTGTTTTACATATTTTCAGAGAGAGGATTAATTCAAATAATTTAGCCTTTCAGTGGTAGAGTTTATTTAAATAATCTGTTTTCCATCTGCTTTCCATCTTCTAAACATTTGTTGATACTCTAATCTGCTATTCTATTCTACATTCTCTTTGTCCCTATGGGTTTATACCGTGTTTACTCCTCTACTCTCCTTTTTAGTATAACTTCAGGAGAGTGCAAAGATAAAAGAATATGTTCAGTCTTCTGAAGTACTTCTATATATAACCTGATTTTTTTCACATTTTACTCTTCTTGATTATCAAAACAATATATGAGTAGCAGAAAAAATTTTTTAATTTAGAAAAGTTTAAAGAAGATGAAATAAAACCTTTCCTAATCCTATTACCCAGAAGCAGCCACAGTTGACATTTTTGCATATTTTCTTCCAGATTCTTTAGATAATAATTTCTCTGTATCCTTAAAAGTAGGATAGAAAATTTGGCAATGAAGAGCTTTGCATTGTGGGAACTCTTTCCTTTCTCTCTCCTGGCCATTTTGGCAACTGCTTTGGATGGGGCTGTCCTGCATCTATGGCAAAAAGATGGCGGCTGCAAAGAAGATGAAAAAGTTGCTGGAATCAATCAACTCTACATTCCAACTCACTATGAAAAGTGGAGAGTACATGCTGGGGTACAAGTGGACTCTGAAAATGATCAGACATGGCAAAGCGAAACTGGTCATCCTCGCCAACAACTGCCCAGCCTTGAGGAAATCTAAAATAGAATACTACTCCATGTTGTCCACAACTGTTGTCCGATACTACAGTGGCCATAATACTGAATTGTGCACAGCATGTGGGAAATACTATAGGGTCTGACACTGGCTATCACTGACCTAGGTTATTCTGGTATCATTAGAAGCATGCCAGAATAGACAGAGTAGTAGTAAATCATGCAAAATTTTTCTTTAATAAAACTGACCAAAGTTTGTTTTAAGAAAAAAAAAAAGTATAGGGACGCCTGGGTGGCTCAGTTGGTTGAGCGGCTGCCTTCAGCTCGGGTCGTGGTCCCGGCGTCCTGGGATCGAGTCCCACATCGGGCTCCTTGCTCATCGGGGAGCCCGCTTCTCCCTCTGCCTCTGCCTGCCATTCTGTCTGCCTGTGCTCGCTCTCTCTCTCTCTGACAAATAAATAAAATCTTTAAAAAAAAAAAAAGTATAATAGAAAATTTCATAAACTTTTTGCCTCAACTTTATTTTAGAATTACTTTCCTATGATATTAAAAGTTATCTATAGATGCTATTTCTAATGGCTACATCATTTTTTATACTAACGGTCTATAATTCGATTTCTCATTTTTTGCTATTTTTAACTAATACCTCAACTTCTTACTTCAAGAAGAAACTAAAGGACAAGGACAGAACCTTAACATAAAGACAGCAGTTACTGGATCCCATTGCTGGTCTGGATGCTATTTACTACTTGAAATCATCAGAAAATCTAACATAATATAGGCTGTAGTTTTAAATACTGAACTTCTAGCTTAGGAACTGTATGATATAGAACTTTTTTAAGTCTAAACCCACAAATTCCTTGAATCACAAGGAAAAAAATGTCATAAGTAGGTTCTCTTTGATATATGACTAACAATCAAAGTAAAGGTAAAAATATTAGAAGGGACTACAGTCTGAAGTTTTATGGGAAATGAGAAATAGGAAGACTGAGGGAATGAACTGATCTCACAGGTGACTCTAGCATAGAAGGATCTCCAGGGAAAATGATAATCTGTTCCTCTGAGCTGAATCCAAGTGTATATAGAACCAGAGTCATTAATGAAAACTGGGGCTATTACTTAGCAAGTGGGTTTTTTTTTTAACATCTCAAATTAGATACGTAAAAAGGTTTAATGAAAACATTAATTGTCCCTTAAAAAATGAACATTTTACCCTATTGATGAAATCTGCTATAGAAGAGCAATATATTGACTAGTTACAAAATTTTCATTGTTTTGTGGCATTTGGACTTTCACCCAATGATTCCAATTCTGGGAATTTACCCTATGGATATACTTCACACATGTAAAATGATTCCTGCATAAGATTACTCACTGCAGCATTTTTTTTACAATAGCAAAATATTAGAAACAACCTAAATTAACATAAATATGGGGCTTGTTAAATAAATCATCCATAATTTGTAATACTATGCAGATAATAAAATTAATGAGGGAGTTCTTTGTGGACTGATACAGATAGATCTCGAAGACATACCGTTAAGTGCAAAAAGCAAACACAACTTTTATGTTACCATTTCTATAAAAGAAAAAAGAGGAAAAAAGAATATAGGCTTTTTAAAAATTTTTCTGAAAGAAGCATCAAAAAACTGACAATAATAATTTCCTTTCTTGGCAGACAAAAGTAGTAATGGGAAGAAGGAGAAGGAGACAATATACCTTCATATACTTTTTTATATTTCCACAGTATACTTTTTTCAAAAAAATGAATAATTCTTAAAAGAAAGAAACTGTAAGAAAACCTCTAAAACCTCTCAAAGAGTTATGTAGTTGAGGGGTGCCTGGGTAGCTCAGTCACTTAAGCATCTAACTCTTGATTTCAACTCAGGTTAGGATCTCAGGGTTTTAAGATCGAGCCCCACATTGGGCTTTGTGCTGAGCATGGAGCCTGCTTAAAGATTCTCTTTCTCCCTCTCCCTTTCCACCACCCCCCACACAAAAATTTAAAAAAAAATCTCAGAGGATCCATTTAACATAGGGTGTTAGGAAAGACTTACACTGACTGAAATTTGCTTGACCATGTTCCAGAAAGATGTAGAGCTGCAAAACAAATTGTGGGCAGCCTTCCAGGTAGGTCTCAAATAGCCTGAGCATGCTCAAATCAGTCATTCTATCTATAACTTCTTTATGTGGATCAATTTGTTCTTCTATAAAGTTATCAGTTTTGCTGATATTTTTGAAAGCCACGTGATAACCCTTTTTCAAGGCAAACCAATACCTGTAAACACAAATATTCACCTTCAGTAAAATATTCATTATAACATGTATGTTAATATATATAATAATTCTGGAAAAAGTAATGTGTTTAAGAACAGAATATTCTGGGGTGCATGGATGGCTCAGTTGGTTAAGTGCCTGACTTCATTCAACTCAGGTCATGATCTTAGGGTCCTGGGATCAAACCCCACAGCAGGCTCCTCACTTAGAGGGGAATCTGCTTGTCCCTCTGCCCCTCCCCCCGACTCATGCACCCACATACATGGTTTCTCTAATAAAAAAATTAAATTATTTAAAAAATAGTACAGAATTTTCCCACAAACTTTCTCCACTACAAATTTCTTTCAACTCTGAATATCTCATGATGGCTTTATTGCAATTCAAACTCCATAAACTTTGGGGCACATGGGTTGCTCCATCGGTTCAGTGGCTGCGTTTGGCTCGGGTTATGATGCTGGGGTCCTGAGATCAAGCCCCACGTTGAGCACCCTGCTCAGCAGAGTCTGCTTCTCCCTCTCCCTCTTCCTCTGATCCTCCTCTCTGCTCATGCATGTGCTTTCCCTCTCAAATGAATTTTAAAAAAAACTTAAAAAAAAAACACTCCATAAACTTTAATTGCATATTTGATAGGCACTGTATGCTAGCACTGTTGAGAACACATGATTTCAATTCATATTCATAGTAATTATGTGAGAAGAATAAGTATTATTCCAATTTCACAGATGAGAAAACTAAGAATGAGAATGGTAGAGTGATTAGCTAAAAGTAAAGATCAGACCAAGACTCCAAACCTGATCCTATGATTCCTAGTCTTAACCACTATTTTCTGAAAGACAAACAGCAATTTTCAATTCATGAAATTTTTTTTAATGTATTTCACAGAGATCACAAGTAGGCAGAGAAGGAGGCAGAGAGTGGGGAGAAGCAGGCTCCCTGCCGAGCAGAGTCTGATGCGGGGCTCGATCCCAGGACCCTGGGATAATGACCTGAGCTGAAGGCAGAGGCTTTAACCCACTGAGCCACCCAGCTGCCCCCAATTCACACAATTTATCTTAACTACAAGACAGATACATGCTCTTAAATGTCAAAGTTGAAGATGAGACTGAACCTAGCAAACAATTACCCGATATCTGCAAGGTGCTAGGCTCTTTGACCATTACCATCCTAGAAAATATGTAATTTCTCAAAGGCTTTTAAAACACCCTTACTCGGGCTCTTTTTTTTTAAAGAATTTTAAAATGAACATGAGTTATCATCATAAGTAAAACTAGTAATAAAACATATTGAGATATTTAAGAAATTTGGGTCTAGCAAAAAGGCAAACGGGCTTCTAGCCCAAAGTTTACTGAAACTCTTTACTCCTCAGTTTCCTCATCTATAAAATAATGGCAGACATATATATCTTATTTCAGTTGGCCCCTTCTGTCGCTGTTTCCCATTTCATTAAATGGTACTAACTAACATTTACCATATTGCTCAGACCAAAAACTTGCAAAAAATTTACAACTTTTTTTTTCTCATACCCTAAAAAACAATTTCTCAGCAGGTTCTCTTGGTTCTGATTCTATCTCCAAATATATTCAAATCTGATATGTGTTGATGAGAGGAGCAAGATGGCAGAGACCAGATTTCGTCTGGTCCCAGAAATTCAGCTAGATAATTATCAAACCATTCTGAATGCCTAGAAACAAAACAGGTGATCAAAGAATAGCAGTAATTCTATAGACAGAAAAGCAACCACTTTCTGGAAGGTAGGATGTGTGGAGAAGTGAATCTGAGGTGATATACGGGAAGCCAGACTGCTGGGGGATGGGGGAGCCTCTGTCTGCTGGCTACCAGCAAGTGATAGAGCTGTGGGAGCACAAAACCAGAACTTTTAGAAGTCTGCTCTGCTGAGGGATGTTGCTCCAGTGGCTAAGTGGGGGGACTGGAATCCTTGCAAGGACAGTGTGGTCTCAGGACCCTCTGGGTTACAGAAAGCCTGAGGGTACCTGAGTGTAGAAGAGCTCCCAGATAACTGAGCAGGGAAGCTGGCTGCAAAGACTGAGCCAAGAAGTGGGTTCTCAGCTCAGCATTGCCATAAATCATGATCCACAGCACAGTCGGGCCACTGTTCTTCATGCAGAGACCCAACAAGCGGCAGATCCAGGCAGACTCCCCTTTCTCTCCCAGGAGGAGAGGCATGGGAGGGCACCGCAGGAACCTCTGGGTTTGGAGACTCCAAATGGGGTCATGTGCCAGAGACAGAAATTCTCAGTCACAGGCCAGGTGAGCACAGAGTATGCCAGAGGAGAGTATGCCAGAGTATGCCAGAGTATGCCAGACCAGGGAGACAAGAGTGACTGACTACTTTTCTCTGAGGACTCGCTGAGGAGTGGGGTCCTGAGCTTTCAGCTCTTCTGGAGACAGAGACTGGGAGGCCACCATTTTCATTCTTGTCCTCTAAAGCTGTACAGAGAGCTCTCAGGGGGGAAAAAAGCTACCAAGGCAAACCCAAGCAAATTACTTAGGCTGGCCCCTGGCAAGGGTAGTGCCATTCCCCCTGGGGCAAAGATATTTGAGAATCACTGCAACATGCCCCTCCTCCAAAAGATCAGCAAGAACATCCAGCCAAGACCAAGTGTATCAATCAATGATAACTACAAAACTCCAGCGCTAGAGGAATACAACACATAGATTTCATGGCTTTTTTCCCATGATCCTTTAGTCTTTCAAAGTTAATTTTTTTTAATTTTATTTTATTCTTTTATATTTTTTTAATTTTTCTTCTTTTCTCTTTCAACCAACATCTTATCAATTTCTTTTTTTAAATATTTTTAGTTATCATTTTTGCAGTCAAATTCTATTCTCTCATTGTATTTTGTGTGTGTGTGTGTGTGTGTGTGTGTGTATATATATATATATATATATATATATATATAACATATACATATACAAACATATATATGTTTTTCTTTAAAATTTTGGGATGTAGTTTCTTCTCACAGACCAAAGTAAACCCAAAATCTAGTGTGTAGCTCTGTTCTATTCAACAGCCTGATCATATTCTTTTTATTTTTTTCTTTTCTTTCCTTTCTGGTCTCTTCTGATTTGGTTAGTGTATCCTTATCTTTTTCTGGGGTTGTTGTTATTCTTTTAGCATTTTGTTCTCTCATTCACCTATTTTTCTCTGGACAAAATGACAAAATGGAAAAACTCACCTCAAAAAAAAAAAAAAAAGAACAAGAGGCAGTACCAACTGCCAGGGACCTAATCAATACAGACATTAGTAAGATGATGGAACTAGAGTTCGGAATGACAATTACAAAGATACTAGCTGGACTTGATAAAAGCATACATGACACTAGAGAATCCCTTTCTGCATAAATATAACCAAGTCGAAACCAAAAAGGCTATTAATGAGGTCCAATACAAAATGGAGGCTCTAACTGCTAAGATAAATGAGGTAGAAGAGAGAATCAGTAATATAAAAGACCAAATGATGGAGAATAAAGAAACTGAGAAAAAGAGAGACAAACAACTACTGGACCACAAGAGGAGAATTCAAGAGTAAGTGATACCATAAGACAACACAATATTAGAACTGGGATCCCAGAAAAAGAAGAAAGAGAGAGGAGCATAAGGTATATTGGAACAAATTATGGTGGAGAACTTCCCTAATTTGGGTAAGGAAACAGGCATCAAAATCCAGGATGCACAGAGAACCCCCCCTTCAAAATCAATAAAAATAGGTCAACATCCCAACATCTAACAGTAAAACTTACAAATCTCAGAGACAAAGAAAAAATCCTAAAAGCAGCTTGGGACAAGGGATCTGTAACCTACAATGGTAGAAACATTAGATTAGCATCAGACCTATCCAGAAAGACCTGGAAGGCCAGAAAGGACTGGCATGATATATTCTTGGCACTAAATGAGAAAGATATGCAGCCAAGAATACTACATCCAGCTAAGCTGTCATTAAAATAGAAGGAGAGATAAAAAGCTTCCAGGAAAAACAAAAATGAAAAGAATTTGCTATCACCAAACAGGCCTAGAAGAAATATTGAAGGGGGTCCTCTACGCAAAAAGAGAGTCTAAAAGTAACACAGACCATTGTCTATGTTTAAAAGTAACATAGACAATATACAGTAACAGCAACCTTACAGGCAATACGATGGCACTAAATTCATCTTTCCATAGTTACCCTGAACGTAAATGGGCTAAGTGCCCCAATCAAAAGACACAGGTTATCAAATTGAATTTAAAAAAAAAAACACCCATCAATATGTTGTCTACAAGGAATTTATTTTAGACCCAAAGACACCTCCAGATTTAAAGTGAAGGGGTGGAAAACCATTTACTAAGGACATCAAAATAAAGCCAGGGTGGCAATCCTTTTATCAGACAAATTAGATTTTAAACCAAAGACTACAATAAGAGATGAGGAAGGACACTGTATCAGACTTAAAGGGTCTATCCAACAAGATCTAACAATTTTTTTAATTTTTTTAAGATTTTATTTATTTATTTGACAGAGAGAGAGATCACAAGTAGGCAGAGAGGCAGGCAGAGGGGGACAGGAAGCAGGCTCCCCGGCGAGCAGAGAGCCCGATGCAGGCCTCGATCCCAGGACCCTAAGACCATGACCCGAGCTGAAGGCAGAGGCCTAACCCACTGAGCCACCCAGGTGCCCTATTTTTTTTAATTTCTTTTCAGTGTTCCAGAATTCACTGTTTATGCACCACACCCAGTGCTCCATGTAATACGTGTCCTCCATAATACCGACCACAAGGCTCACCAAAGCTACCATCCCCCACCCCTCCAAAACCCTCAGATTGTTTTTCAGAGTCCATAGTCTCTCGTGGTTCATCTCCCCCTCCAATTTCCCCCAACTCCCGTCCCCTCTCCATCTCCCCATGTCCTCCGTGTTATTCCTTATGCTCCAAAAGTAAGCAAAACCGTATGATAATTGACTCTCTCTGCTTGACTTATTTCACTCAGCATAATCTCTTCCAGTCA